AAATATCGCACTATAGGTAAGTCTACTGAAAATATAATTGATTGATTACATTTGGTATTATTTGTTTCCATAAGTATTAATTACATAAAATAATATAATAATTTATCAACATCAACACCAGTCTTTCACATTTTACAAAACAATACTCTTTAAAGATCTTGTCACGTGCTAACGTCCCCAAAGTAAAACAAAGTAATATTAAGGAAGGAAATTCAGTTTAATATTTGAATTATAACGGGCGTGTGGCTTAAGCTGTCATTTACACGACATCCAATAAATAAGGTACAACAAAATTCGGCTTGGTTCGCGAATTGGTTCAGTCATCTAAAAGGACCGTTATGTGATGACATTAGCCGGCTCCAAGCATCGTTTATTTAGTTCACGGGTGATTAAGAAAACGACGTCTAGGTTTTTCTGTACAATACTAACAATTTTTATAGTATCCGTTGAACAATATTATATTTTAACTTCTTATTCAATATATATTTTCATGAAAAGAATTTATGGACACAAGTTTTTGCTGAAAAAATTATCGAACTATATTTATGTAATGTTTTGAATGTAAACCTTTGGAGGTAAATTTTAATGATGCATTAATATTTTTCATATGAGCAGTTTTATGATAAATTAAATCAAAAAGAATAACAAAGTAAATTCCTCACCCTAAAATCACATGGGTGTCTACGGGGTCACGCATGTTTTTGCATATTTGATCACATTCCACCGTATTTTTTGTTATGTTGGGTTTATTTTGAAATTTATATTATTTTTTTTGACCCTCATTAAAAATATATTTTATATAAAAGTATAAATTATGCACTAAACTGCGTATCATACATTTTCAGATTTTAATTACATTCATTATAAATAGTACATTATAATCCACACCAAACAACCTAACATACAGGTTTTAAAAAACTTCTCCGATACGAAAAATACTGCAAGCAAATATACTTGTATTAATGTATTTTAAAATAAATATATGTGTCATGTCATGTAAGTCAGTGGTGGCTCAGTGGTTAAAGGGCCCGCCTCTTGTCGCCGAGGGCGCGGGTTCGATCCTGGCCCGGGCAAGTACCAATGTGATTTTTCCGAATCATATGTACTTTCTAAGAGTATTTAGACACCACTGACATACGGTGAAGGAAAACATCGTGAGGAAACCTGGACTTATAGTTTCACAATTATAAGTTTGAAATCACCAACCCGTCTTGAGCAAGCGTGGTGATTTTTATCCTTCTCCATGTGAGAAGGATAAAAATCACCACGCTTGCTCAAGACGGGTTGGTGATTTCAAACCTTCTCCATGTGAGAAGAGGCTATGCTCAGCAGTCGGCGTTAATAGGCTGATGACATATGTGTCATATATCTTGCACATTGTTGGAAGTTGGTGGAATAAATTATTAATTCCTCTCCATAGCTTCAATAGAAGCCTAAGTCTTGAAGCGAGTAATTTTTTTTTCGTAATATTTTGCTAGACAGTGGTAATATCTAATACTTAATGGTAGTGTGAAGGTTAATCGAATATTTTTCTTAAGTTCCCTATGTTAACATTAAGTATTATACCTCTAGAAGTAACTAAGTTAATCTGAGTTCTTATTGCCAAGGTTTTCAAATAAGCTGAGGTATTTGAGACATTAATCAAAATTTCCGGTAGCTCATTGCTCGGTTCAGCTAACCGACAATCATTTTTCAAACCATTGCTTTTTATGAACCATAATATTTTTTTTACGAATGTTTTGTGAAATTAGCTAAATATCTTAAGACTTGTACTTGATTTGTTTTAATTAATAATAATCTCGTCTTCTTTAAAGTTACATTTCACTTATTAATAACTTACAGTATTTGTCACTGTCACCGTAAATATTGTAATTGATAACTTGACGTAACATTTCAAATATTTTTTCTTATTGAGTAAAGAACGTTAACCTATTCATTTTTAAACATCAAATAACTGCTTACGCCTCTAACTAGCGTGAATGTAAATTTGTTCACAAGTGCTCGTTTTATCCCTAAAATATTAAAAACATGACACTACCGTATTTAGGTTATGCTCACTTGTCACGACATGGACGCTTCTTTGTCAAGGTTAGTTTTGTTTCTGTATTTCATTTCTATGATAATGAATGTTGTTAAGGAAAACCAATATCTATTTCAACATATATCATTTGTATTGAAATATATATCTTTTTTTAGGAAAACGATTCTAGTTTTATAAAAACAACGAAATTGCTGGCGTTTTTGAGAATAGTTTTCTTTTTTGAAGTTCGAACTTAAATCTTAATAATCACACAGTTTAAAAAATTACTTTTTATTTATAGGAATAAGTAAATGAATATTGTTGTTGTACAAGTTTTATATCCTTAAGTGATCTTTATTTAAAAATATTACATAAGACCCAACCACAAAACAACAAAGTACATATGCCTATTGAGAATATTTAAAATCCTGAAATATTAAAGACAGATATTGTTTTTACATTATGAAGTTGTATAAAGAAAACTGTAATCCATCATCTGGCACGCTTCGTATTTTGATCAATGTTACTTCACATTGGACGGGGATCGATGGTTATTCTATTAATAAGCTTACCAAGCACTTTAACGTAACTCTTCTGCTTACACAACCAACTTACTTATTTGTAACAATAGAAACACTCGATAGGTCATTAGTTAAACCAATATATCAAGAACCATAAAATGTGTGTCATTAGAATATGATATACGTTTTAACAAATTTAATTATGTAGATAATAAAAAAGCAAATGTTTTTATATAAAAAAGAAACGATGGTAAAGCTGTCATTTAGAGGACATTGGGCCTTATATGTAGAAATTTGGCGTTGTTATATGAGCTGCTGTTGTATAAAATACATTGAAACAAATAACGCTACGGTGTAGATTTTTGTTTCAGTAACTAAAAATCAATTAAGGTGTCATACGGAACAGCAATCAAATATTTCTTGTGACATTTATAATTATTCTGTTACATTGTAATGGTAGCGAGCTTGCTGGTCTTATAAAATATTAATATGTATAAGTCATTTACGTCTCCTGACATTTTGTACAAAATCCGTAAATTACAGATTTTGAGACTTATACATATACAATAGGGTACAAATTTGATTACATTTTAAGACATTTGTAGCCATAAAATTTGCATTTGCATCTCGTTTCACTGTATCATCATAATGTAAATATTATTATGGTTATATAAATCATATATTCATACTATTTTATTATTCTATTCCTCGGTGGGAGCCCTGCAGTATAGTAACCACAAATCAGACAAAGGTGTGGTTTCAGATTCGTTGAGTCCCGGTATGTCATCTGATAAAGCTGTACATAGGATGGGTCTGAACAGTTACTCTGAAATTTTATTAGAGTACGCCTATATCCCTAGATTTTTTTGTATCGTATTCTTCGTCAAGAAGTATATCACTCCGTTGAGTTCCCGCGGATGGTGGGGTTTCATCTAGTGAGTTAGCCACTCACCCTTGGCTGCCCCATTAGCTTTGTATTGTTTCAGGTCGATTGACAATAGCATGACAAAAGCATGAGAAGAGTCGATGGCGATTTCGGGTATAAAATTAGTTTTCAGATCAAGCCTCCAGTGGCACGTAATTTGATTAGGTTATTAGACTATAATTAATAGAGTACATTTTAAATAGTGTGTTCATCAAATGATTTATGTAACAAATCAGTTGTATGGCGAGTCTCCAACTTTTGGTTGTAGAACTAAGGATAAAGTGTTACAATTTATCAATTTTAATGCGTACTGCAAAGTATCGAACAATTTTTCAGTGTTTGTACTTTGTCTCACTATAAATGTTGATGTCTTCAAGGATTGAGATAAGTCTCTTACTATCTATCTATCTGTGGTATACCACAGATTAGAAATATCATTCCATATGAATCTTTGCAGTATACTATTTAAATTTAATGTTTATTATTGGTAATGAGGAATTTTCGCTAAAGGGAAAAACTACTGAAATAGAAAAAACTAAATTATAGTCTGACATTTAAAGAAAAATATGTTTTTCTATAATAGACCTATATGTTTTTTAAGTAAACATAACATACAAGCATTTTCAACTCTTAAGTACAGATTAAAAGTAAAAAAAGCTTAATGTGAAATAACATTGAAAATTCATCATTTCTTCTATACAAGTCCTGTTTGGAATAAGTAGTTTTTTTTCGTTTTGTTATTGAGTTATAAATAAAAAATAAATGAATTTTGATTTAATGTTGATATTGTTATACTTGTATCATGCATCCAAATCAATAAATCAATACCTTAAGAAAAATCTATATTTTACATAATGTAGGAGAGATAATATTACAACCCATATTTGTATTAAATAAAGACCGTATTTTAAAGTGAACAATAAAATTCTAATCTGATACTTTGAATGAATGAGACTGTTACAGTGGGAAACACCCAACTTTGGCTAAATTGCCGACGTGATGTAACAATTCCATTCCATATTACGTTACGATCCAAGATTTTAGTCTAAGAAACTCTTGATAAAATATATTTGTTTAGAACCTCAGCAGCGGTTTCATAAATTAATATACTTATTAATATGTATAAAATTACTTAAAAAATAATTTACAGCCCAAACAATTACTACTTTAAAATTAATCGGATATTATTATTTTCATTTTTTACTTTGATATTATTGTATTTTCTGTTGTGAGTTAAAGATTTAATAATTTTGTACATGTAATAGGTTCAAGGTATTAACTATTAATTTATTTTTTAGGTCATGAGAAACTTAAATTGTTTCTACTGTTTTATATAACAATAATTTATATCAAACCAATAATATAATATTTTAACGAAAATTAATATGTGTGTTATTATTGTTATTAAAATAAGAGGAATTACAGTATATAATTTAGTATTCACCATACAAACTTTCAGCAATGCCAGATAAATTATTGCATCATTTAGTTTCTGTTATTACCAGCAAACCTGTATATTGTTTTATTATTTCAGCTGCGGAAGCCAGTGTCGACGCTTTCGATCCCCGGCGCTATGAAGGCGTACTCCAGTGGGAGAGACGCGGCCGCCGAGGAAGCGGGCGTTGCGTTAGTTGGCGTACACAGCGAATACCCGCGTTACGGCGAAGAGAGGGCTCTAGGCGGTGGGACCTACAAGGGAGGGGGGGCCGCTAAACACAAGCCTAATATAGGATATAGGTAAATTTACTTATTGGAATATTATAAAAAGGCAAGAAAAATATTTAAAAACATTTGTTAAGTGAATATCGTCTCCAAATACTACGTGACATAAAATTATACCCATGAGGTACTTAGAAAAATCGCAAAATTATAGTACGATTGTATAAACGAATGAGAGAAAAGGAATTGAAAGGTACCATAAAGATTAATGTGAAAGAATGGAAGAAGACAGATAGAGACATTTCGTACGTATACCACCTTATCAATTGATGAATAAAATTATGGACAGTCGTAACTCTTAATAATTTTAGTGATATATATATGTATATATATAATTTTATTGGTATATTGAAAAAAATATTTCTTTTCTTTTTTGCTGATCAAAAATACAATAAATCAGAATATTTGAAAACAACTTGCGATTCAATTTCCTGATCCTTCGTATTTGTATTTCTAATGTAATTTCTGATTAGGATAGTATAGATACTGGGTAAGGATATGTTGTTTATACCTTTACTGAAAGAATCACAGATCTCAGAATTAGAATTTATTTAATACTCCGTCTCAGACATAGAGCCTTCTTACGTCAACACTACTCTTGATCTGTCCCAATCGACACTTACTCTTAAGTACATTTATTTCTACCTTTGGATTACGTTTCTACTCCGTCACACTTACGCTTACTCTTTACACAACAACTGTCATCGTATTCCCAAAACAATAGCACGTAACTATCTTACAATGTGCTATTATTAATATAAATTTTACTGCTTTCATCAACGTATAGTGACTATATGCTAAACGCATATTTATGGCATCGCCCATCTTAATACTTAAAGTTACAAGATCTAAAACTGTAGTCACATAAAAAATTTAAACTTATATTCAAAAAAACCTAAATGGTAAAAATAATTCTACAACTATTATTTCTAAGACCCTCTCAATATGAACATGTATTTCCAAGTTTGTCAGTTTATATTATTGAAGAACAGTAAACTTACATTATGTTTTTAGTAAATACTAATTCAAGATATGGTAACTGGCATATGATAAATATTTATTCTTAATACATATTATATATTGTAAAAAAAACTGACCACTTTGTATTGCTTTAATTAATGAATATTCGAAAAAGTATATAGATGACTAAAGTTTTTTTTAAAGTAAATAATAAATTAAATTATGTTTGCTTTATGAAATAAAGTTTTCAAAAATCTGCTATTAGTGAATGTAATAAAGTACATGAAGACAATAATTTTAAGCTATTTTCTATGTAAATACAAAATGGAAGTCTGGAGATATCCCGAAAGTAAATGAGATAAGGTAGATTAAATTGCTAGTATGGGTTTGAATACGTAATTAAAGTGTTTGAATAATTAATTTCTCTCTACACCTTTATATTGTGAACGATGGAACATATAGTAGAACTACATACCGTTTTGCATTCTTTACAAAATAGAAAACAATAGCTTTCATAATAGGCCAACTTCCGGACCTAATATAATGCATTGTGCAAAGGTTTGAGATTGCTTATCACACTAATTAGAATCTAATAGCGTGAACAGGGTCAAGATTGTTTATCTATGAAAGTAATTAACCTAGTATACATAAAAAAATACTGTTTAGAATGTAAACACATACTAATACACATATTTATAAAAAGTAAGTTTCTATCTAGATAAGTATGAGAAAATTATATAGAAGAAAAATATATGTTCAATTCTTTACTTTTAATAATCCCGAAGGGTCAGTTATCACACCTATAAAAACTCAATAAAAATCATTCTGTTGGCCTTGGAAAACGGAAATAGCTTGCATCGAGTCTGAATCGATTTTGTTTGTCTTCAGAATTTATGAACGTAGGATTTTTAATTATTTACTTTGTTTTAGGCGATTTCTTTTAATTAATAAGGTTCTACTTTTTGTTCCCTTTTATGTTTACGGCATTGACTTAGAAGATTTAAAAGTGATTAGAAATAGAAAGAAAACTGTTGGATTGTTACTAATGTCTTGAAAAGTCCGGAATTTACATGGGATTTTTTGGAATTAACTTGGATTACGGAAAAACTTGGATTATAGAAATGAGAAATTTCATTTTGAAATCACATTCTACGAGTATACTAATGGTCATTATTTATAAAAACAACAGCTCCCCTTTAGGTAGTTTTGAATGTATCTAGTTTTTATATAATTTATATATCGAACTATACTTATTTATCAAATGATATTTACCAGAGTGAAAACTTAAAATTTAATTAAAAAAAGAAACGCAGCTAACTTTCTTTCAACAATAACTTCTTCAGTCTATTCATCTAAATATAAAAACTTTTGAAACCAGTTATGCATTTTTTAAATAAATAAAGGATACAATGCGACAAATAATTGTGAAAATACTTGATCGCTCTCACTCTCTCGAGATCTCTTGACGTCTTTATGCCTGAAATTCATATAACCTTCAAATAAATTCTCTGCACATTTTTGATTTTCTAGACTTTATTTAATCTTTGATGCCTTCATACCTAAAGAACCTTAAGGAAAATTTATACAGAAAACTCGTTTCAAATTGTACGAAAACTTACTACGTACTTTCAAAGTTATAAATCGAAGGGACAGCTCGTTTATGGAAATCTTGGTTCTTTTTAATGTAAGTGCCGTGCCCTCATAAAATACGGACAGTTAATCACGAATTACGTCCCTAGACATTAATTACTCTGTTTCAAAGTTTGGTAATCTGAATCCACAAATATTAATTAAATGGGCAGCGATTAACGCTTACAGTATACCATCAATATGACTAATCCAGTGACAATTGCTCTTCGTTGAAAGTCTAATAGAGTTGATTGAACTAGAAAATTTGGGAAGCTCAAATTGCTTCAACCAAAATGAAACGATGGCTATGGAATAAACCACGCCAGTTATTATTTTACATTTTATCTGAGGTTTTCATTACTTTACTGCAATCATGTTCACTACATCTGATGACAAAAAATAAAACTAACTGAAAGACATTTTCATTCTGTATGCTCTTGGTCACGATTGCTGTAAAGCAGCGTGACCACATGACCACGAAAAGTTTTGTAAAATTTAATAGAATAATTTGCATAAGATATATAGAGTGTATATATATATATATCTGAAAACTACTGTTTTAGTAAGATGTGTAATTTTAGATATCATTAATCTATAATGATATATATATAAGTATGATATTAAATTTGAAAATTAAACTTTCTCCAAAACTCTGGTATCCAAAAAGGCTTATTATACTTCGTTGAAATATTCAAAGACGTTTTAAACGTAGCGCATAATTAAGTTTGTTTTATATTATTTAAAAGTATTTATATTGTTTTTCATCATATTACAGATTAGGTAGAAGAAAGGCTTTATTTGAAAAAAGAAAAAGGATAAGCGATTACGCTTTAGTAATGGGAATGTTTGGTATTATAATAATGGTTATAGAAAACGAACTTTCTAGTGCTGGGGTCTACACAAAGGTACGGTTAATTATTCATTCATAAAATTGTTTATTCTTAAAAAAACATTGAATAAATATTGCAACATCATTTTCACAAATTTATTTTTAGTTTTATTCTATATATTTTTTCAGGCATCAATATATTCGCAAGCGTTGAAGACGCTTATATCAATGTCGACTGTGATCTTACTCGGCCTAATCGTGGCTTATCACGCTTTAGAAGTACAGGTACGTTTTGTATAGTAGGTTGTTTTTTTGTAACATTCATTTTTAGTGAATGTAAATATGTAGTATATACAGCAATATTATAATAGAAGCTATTTTAATAATATTGTAAGAAGTGCAATATTTAATAGGATTGGATCAGTTTTATGTTATATATGAAGTTCCATTTTTTTTATTGCGTGCACAAGTCTAAATACCGGTTATATATATGTTACTGGTTGTATTGTTTTTGGCTTGTGACTTTGTCTGCTTGGACGTCAGAATTAGCCAAGAACAAAAATGTGTAAAAAGTATTAAGGGTGTAGATATTTCAACAAACCGGCATCAACATCCATGGCTTTCCGTGACGAGAATTCATGCACAGCATAACTTTTTTTGCATTTACCCTGCGGTAACTAAAGGGAATTCCGGGCTGATTTATTATAGCATATATCTTATTGTCACGACTAAGCTACATAAATTATAAAGTTTCAATAAAATCCGCTTAGCAGTTTTTAGTGAAAGAGCAATAAACATTCCTATATGCTTGTAAATTTTCGATATTAGTACAATAAAATATTATTCTATGAAATCTTTTATAAAATAAATGTTTAACAATAAGATAATACAATAATGAATATCACTTGGAATTTGTTCTATACAACGCAAGAAAATTAACTGAAACCAAACTATATACCGCATCTGGCCTACAACCTCATGGACCTTTCGGTTTTAGTTACATACTATAAATATTAAATAGATACTATATATCTCTTTCTTTCGATAAAACAACCAAAGACTCTTAATTTATATTACTTATTCATGATTTTTAAATTTCATTTGTGCTTTTTTAATGTAAGAATATGTGGTGATATATTTATGAAAATAACTCTTATTACAAATACAAAAGGTCGGTTTTGCAGTAAATGGAGTTAATGATTAAAAAAAATTATTATGAATTCCAGTTATTTATGATAGACAACTGCGCTGATGACTGGCGTATTGCGATGACGTGGCAGCGGATAGCCCAGATAGCTCTTGAGCTGGCCATATGCGCCGTCCACCCAATTCCGGGACAATACACATTCACTTGGACAACTAAATTAGCGAACAAAGGCGGTGTCATAGGTGTTGAAGTTGTAAGTATATCCATAGAATGGTATAAAGATAGACATTTGATCGTAATATACATATATTTACCCATTAATAAAATATACTGCAATATAAAGTATTCATGTTATAAAAGCATATTTATCTCCAAATTTGTTCCATAGGAAACAGTATATAAACAAATTCAGGTCTGTATAAATGAACGATTTCTATTTTAATAGCATGTATGATTATTGTATTGTGATTTGACTTACCATTAATAATTTAGAATATTATTTGGTTAAAGATATAATAATATTGACCTAAGTAACAATGAATAAATAAGCAAAAGTGTGTTTAGAATAAATAATAGATTTTGCTTAACTATGTTTTTGTGTCTTCATATTCAAAGTAATATATTAAAGTATGATTTATAATTATTAGTTCAATAAACAAGTTACACTAATTTTCTCATCATAAGAAGGAAGTAATATTATTATTTATTTTTAAATCTATGGGGGAAGTAAGCCTAAAACGGATACAAAAACGAAAAAGGGACGAATCCAGTATTTCGATTTTATTTATCGCTTAATGCCAATACAGCTACCTGTAATCTTTTCATTCGAGTTGGTTTTAAATGGAACGTTTTGTGAAGAATTACATGAATAAAGAAATTTTATAATTTTTATTGAAGTTTCTACAAAAGCTAAAATACAGTATGTACCCGACTTAGGCTCTCCATCGGATGGGTAATTATGTATGTATATGTATATATAGTACGTTGTGTCCTATGATAAAATATATGTATAATAGATTTATTTTCATACAATAATAGCACAATATTTACTTGTGAACAGAAAGTGTGCGATGTATTTTAGATGTTGAGATTCTAAACTAATAAGTAATAACCATTTAACAATTCTAAACTAACTTCCCTTAATTGAAAATGTCAAAACCAATATGTACCAAAAATATTGTTTTACTAATAAATTACAAATCTCATTACAGGTTCCATATGATGTAACGCTGTCTCTCCCGATGTTCTTTCGCCTATATTTGATATGTAGGGTTATGCTTCTTCACAGTAAATTATTCACTGATGCCTCTTCCAGAAGTATAGGGGCTTTGAATAGAATAAATTTTAATACCAGGCAAGTACATATTCGAATTCTTCTGAATAAATTGGGTTTTATATATAAATTAATCTTTAAAAGAATCAAAGGCCGTTAAAATATTGGAAACTTTACTTAGAATTAAATTTAATGAAATATAGACGTCTTAGACCCAGATTCACCAATCAATGTTTGTTAAATCTAAACATGGCATTTACTAACACACCTTCAAAATTATAAATGTCTGTTATAATATTTACGTTCCACGATGACAAATTAACAACGCATTATTAAATGTAATATTACATGACCGGCTACCAAATTATTCGTTCTTGTTATAAGACGACCAAATTGAAACTGTAGCGTTTAACACGACACGTTTGCCACGATGCACTACTTTATACTTTGATATATATATCGGGATATATACGATCAAAGTATAAAGTAGTGATATGATATCACTTGTTAGTTAATGCGAACAAATTTTATATATCGTTGGTTGCATACATTTGGCACACAAGCTTTCTTTTCAATTTACTAGGTGTAACTTGTCAAAATCGTGTTGTCAATAAATTGTGTTATATGTTATTGTGTTATGAATATAGACATTAATTGTGTTCAAATTTTAAGACATAAAAAGAAAACTTAATTTGCAACGTCAAAGAAAAGCTGGAGACAAATCATCATACTAAATGAAATTTTAATTCACTTTTAAGCAGTCACACATTTAACATTGATTGGTGAAACTGGGTCTTGGTATCCAAATGTAATAATTACTGTTTAAAAAATTAAAAAGTCAATACAAATGCCCTTTATTTTACAGATTTGTATTAAAAACACTTATGACTATATGTCCTGGGACTGTTTTACTTGTGTTTATGGTCTCACTCTGGATAATTGCTAGCTGGACTTTAAGGCAGTGCGAAAGGTCAGTATTTAGATAGACATTGTCAAAAAGCTAAATTGAAGACAAAAGTATACAAGTGTGTTTTAGCTATTGGAGAATAGTAAATAATATCTTTAATTTAGGAAAATTGTATTAAAGAGCAAATCATGTCAGTATTGAGTCATCAGTATTGCTTAATTTTTTATTCACTGTGGTTTTTTTTTACACAAAATTATTATAAATATCGATGTACTGCCTATATGGGCATGCTAAAGCTTATGTACTGTGGCGTTGTTAAAGTATTTGTTCCGCTTTTTATCCTCTGTGTTTTATGTTAAAGGATTTAATTTAAACTTTTAAAATATATTATGGTAGTGGATTCGTTATTATCACAATGATATAAGAGTTTGACTTTGAATTTTTTCGCTAATGTAGCAATCAGAAAAGTATCGATACACGACTGCTGTACTTAACAATAATCAAGTTTTTAGACTATGTGTTAGATTTAGAAATATGTTGTTAACAATAATGCTTGATGTGCTGTAAATGTTAGAACATCTAAGACTGATAAGAAATGTGTACTCAAAGTTCTTGAAAACGTACAGAGAAAAGTGCCGTGACCTAAAGCATATTTACTGTAAAGAGTTATGCACAAAAGTATTTATACACAAACTTTGGCACGAAATATAACATCGCTGACTTAATTTCATTAAGGCAGAAGATGGCTCACGCACAAAATGGCTCTAGGTAATATACACGTATATCAGCTTACAACTGTTGCTAAAACTGAATCCACACTAAAACCACTGCACTTTTGTCACTCTCATTCATCAAAGTACTTCTTATAAACAGAAGCCTTCTCAGTCTCTTTCTTCTCTGTGTTCCTCTTCTATTATCTTATTGCCTTGTCTCAATGTTCATTACAATATGTGTTTTCATATTTAGTAAAACGAGTAAGTAAATAAAATTCACAGCATGGCTATAAGTGCATTATATTTGGTATTGACCCCAAATAAATGTTTAGTCTGCACGTTATTTCGTGATGATGTCTGATCTGTTTAGTTCTAAGGTTTATTTTGTATCTTTCAAAAGGCATGAAAAATTATTTTTTAAGATAAATATATATTTGGGATAAAGTATTCGAGATTAAAAATATCGTAATCGTATTTCAAAAAAAATGGCTTCGGCTTTTATAATGCAAAATCATGTTGTATAATACAATCGGTTATCTTGTGGTTCTTGTTGGGCATTTTGGCTCTCAGGTTCCACGATGAAGACCATGCCAATTTGCTAAACTCAATGTGGCTGACAGCTATAACCTTCCTCTGTGTTGGCTACGGTGATATTGTTCCCAACACTTACTGCGGCCGAGGCATAACTCTTACCTGCGGTATGGTGGTATGTATGATAACCGGTAGGATATTTGGGTACAATAAAGCAAGTTCTACACTTATCCAGTCGTTTCATCTAGACATAACAAGAAACCAAATGGAAATGTAATAACTTGTTCTGCCTAGGTTTATTGTAATAGGTTGGTAAAGGTGAGCCATTTTATGTGTTATGACAACTTCACAGTTGACTGAAGCAATTTCAATTTCACAATCAAAGTCAAACTCTTCAAAGACGTGCGATCTTTCTATTCTTCTTTCTTTTTTATAAAAAATCCTTTCACTTTTGCAATGGGATATGCTTACGCGCAGTACTGGTAGGTAGGTGATACACGTTACTTCAAATGAACTTCCAGTGTCTTTACACTAACAGTTAGATCTACTCAGTTAAGCGATGACATTTATTTTCAAAAGGTTTCACGATGAAGAACATGCTAACCTACTCAATGCGATGTGGCTTATTGCCATTACATTTCTCTCCGTCGGTTTTGGTGACATTGTGCCGAACACATATTGTGGCAGAGGTATCGCCGTTAGCACCGGCATTATGGTAAGTTCTTTGCAATGATTTATGTTTGTGTTGACTGACAACTAAAAATTTTATATTGGCATAATATTTTTTATTCTATCACTCACTTTGATTACTTGAGTAAACGCCTTTCCTAAGTGTCAAAATTTTTCTGTTTGATTATACTCAATATTTTATTTTCTTATTTTGTTTTATACTTTGGTCAGTCAACACCAACATTGTGTTGTTTTAATACAGGTGACACTACACACGAATTTTTACACAATCTGAATATACATGTATGGAGTAAAACACCATTTAATTGTATTTATTTTTGTGATTGATGTTTATGTTCACAGAATCTTAAACAGAAATGTATACTGTAGATTGGTGGTATTGGTGCTGTTTTTGTAATAAGATGATTACCACAACCGCTTAGTGTGATTCACATTGGTTATATATTATTATAATCGAAAGCCACTAGATTTTGAACGTATACCATGGTCAAATAAAAGATATCGCATAATGTTATTTTATTGTAATTTAATACATAACAAACGTCCATTTCCCTGTTAAAACCAGCTATTAGACATATTTAGTAGAATGGAATGCTTCATTACTATCTCTAGTTCTATTCTTCACTTAACTATTTCACTGAATTGCACAATACGTTTGTTTTTAAAATGGCTCACTTTTCCTAAAATTGTTTTATATGATACATAAAATAAGCAATACGTTTTTGCACCTTTGTTATTGTTTGTGTATAATGAATAATAAAGAGTATATAGATAACTAATAAAATACTAACTAAAATGTGATACCTTGCACTAAATATATTTAATCCTCGCTAAAAAAAGTTTTTGTTTGAAGTGTGTTCCGTAACATATTAGATAGTTATTAACATTTGAATTGAAAATAATATTATTTATAAGTTTGGCTTACTATTAGATTTTAATGGTAAAATAGAAAAATTAAAATGTGTGTTAAAATTGTTATAATTCAGATGTTTGAGATAAAATAATTAACAAAATATTAATAACGAGGGTGATCGACATTGCTTGAGTTTATTTTTTTGTTCTTACTTTTTATAAAATTTTCAACGCAGCTTTGAAAGATTTTATTTATGTCTATTGTCCTCGCCTATTTGTTGATAGAATCTATGACTGAAAAATATATTTCACATAGCTGAAAAATATAGATTACATTTCATTTCTAGCCTGAAAGTGCATTTTTATTTAAGGAATGAAAAATTTTAAATGCTTCTACACGTTCGCTTGCATTTTACATAAGGTATTCACTTAACAGGGAGCTGGATGCACTGCGTTATTAGTCGCGGTTGTTTCAAGAAAATTAGAATTAACTAGAGCTGAGAAGCACGTTCATAACTTCATGATGGACACACAACTTACTAAAAGAGTAAGTATTTTATTGACATCAGTTCACCACAATTATTGATCTAATTAACAGGGGGCGGGATGTACAGCATTATTAGTGACAGTTGCGTCGAGAAAATTAGAATTAACTAGAGCGGAGAAGCATGTACATAACTTCATGATGGAGACTCAGCTCACTAAAAAGGTAAGGTGACTGTTACATGTGTGACAGCTGGACGAGCGAGGTAAGAACATATTGTATTAGTTATAAGTGATGTAGAGGTTTATTTAGTGCTGGGTTTTGATAGCGTTATTGTAAGAAACTATTCTTGATTAGGAAATTATGACATAAGTATCTTAGTTTTGTATTGCTTACTTTAAATAGTGGCAAATATCACTTCTGATTATTATAGTCACGAGTTATCTACTATTTCCTTACATTTTTAAAACCTCTCATTTGATATATATATATAATAGCCAGTGTTACTTTAATCTTCTAGTTATTGTTACATAATCCTTTCTATTTCTTTCCCTCTATCTTTTTATATTTATAAGGTAGATAGTGTATCCAGCAAGTAACATTACATTTGTAATTTTTTTATAAATATTACAAAATTATAATAAATATGTTTGCGTTATCTAAATTTATAAAGAATCTATTTTTTCATTTAGATAAGGCATATTTTATCTTTACACTATTAAATCTTCTGCAATTGGTCCCATTGATATTTGATACAATTTGATTCGAAATTTAGAATAAAATATTTCTTTTTATCAAAAAATATATTCAATTCTTAATTTTAATTCATAAAGTCTACAAACTAAGTTTGACAATAGTAATGCTATTCACTATCCACGCTTTTTTTGCGGCTCTCAAATAATATTACTTAATAAGTGGTTTGAGAAATTGATCAAACTTGTTTTGTATGATATTTCAGCTGAAAAATGCCGCAGCTAACGTATTAAGAGAAACATGGTTAATATACAAACATACACGTCTCGTCAAGAGGGTTCATCCGGGGCGCGTAAGAACTCACCAAAGAAAGTTTTTACTAGCTATTTATGCGTGAGTATATATTTTGACGAATCAAATATATTATTCTCACTTTATTTCATATTCTCTATATATACTTAAAAATGGAAACCAGGTTTATTGCTTTAAAATTAAATGTTTTAAATTGTTATAGATTACGGAAAGTTAAGATGGATCAAAGAAAGCTGATGGATAATGCCAACACTATAACTGACATGGCAAAGGTAAATTTATTTTAAGATCCAAATTATAAGCCATAGCTCTTTTCATACACATATCCATTTAATCATTATAATTTAGAAAATTTACCTATGGCATTAGTGGCTTCAGTAGCATGAATTTTTAAATCCATGTGCATATGCCCATCGCTTAGATATAGTAGTAATAAACATCTTTAGCAGTAGATTTTAGTTGGAATGTATTAGCAATGAAGTTACATACATATACACAGACACGAATTATACAGACAAGATTGATGAACAATTATATAGAAAACTATACAAATAACACACCAATTTGATGTATAAATTCGGCAGTGCCTATTGAGCTGCAATTCGATTGATAGTAGGACCCCTTTCTTTTACAGACCCAGAACATGGTTCATGAGATAGTGTCAGACATGAGTACGAGGCAGGACACGATTGAAGAAAGACTTACTAGTTTAGAAGAGAAACTAACTACTTTACAGGTACCTTTCAGCTAATATATTTAAAAATATTTCAACAATACCTTTTCAAATGTTTTTGGTATTCAAATAATTAAAATTAAGCTACGTTATATTTTGGCTTACGTATCTACCTGGCAATTTCCCAGCTTTGCCAGGGTCTCTGCCTTACATGTTGTGAATAGTTTTGGCTAATTGTTTTTACGACCGGCCGCCTGCCTGACATCAACCCTCTTTGGGAATGCATTAATCATTGATGTCTAAATACTCTTAGAAAGTACATATGACTCGGAAAAAATACATTGGTACCGCCAGGATCGAACCCGCGATCTCATGCATGAGAGGTGGGGGTTTTAACCACTAGGCCACCACTGACTGACATATATTTACCAATAAATATTTATAGATATCACATCGGACTTATGTCATACTATTAAATAATTTTTTGTGGTTTTTATATATATCTTTAACTAAAATTTTCAGGAGCAAGTCAATAATCTGCCAGATGTTATGGCCAGGTGCTTACAACAATGTTGGGAGCGAGCAGAACAAAGAAGGAACTTTCTACATCCTGACACAGCAGCTGTGCCTACTCCACCCGCATCATCTATTTCTCCATATTCTAGGTAAAAAGTTGTGTAATATTATTTATACAAGAAATAACACGATGAGCGATAAAAATTTAAAGATATACTTATTGGTAATTGATACTATTCTGAATAATATTGTAAGTGGATGACGTCATAAGATTTAATTTATTCTTAGCAGATTGAAATTATTTTATACTGTCATTGATAGCCCCTATAAAAGAAAATTTTATCAAATATTTTAGGAATACTATCTACTTATAAATGAAAAAGTCTAAATAAAATAAGAGCAAAAGTTACAAAACTGTGATAATTTTAAAACTCAAACTCAAATAACTTTATTCAATATAGAAGCATTACACTTTCTTATTGATGCTCACTTGAGACACTACCACCGTTTCGGAAAAGAAAATACCCTGATCTGAGAAGAACCGGCGAAAGAAACTCAGAGGGTTTTTTTTAATATTTGTCTCATATATTATATAAACAATTTAATATGAGATGAAATAGCCAGGAGGCGATCGTTTCATTCCCAAGGTGTGCTATCGATCATAAACTCATTAATTGTATAGTCCTTTTGCACACAATCTTTCCTTAATATTTTTTTTAAATTTTGCAACAGAGGCATTTTGAACGCTTTCTGGGATCCTGTTGTAAAACCGTATACATTGCCCCACAAAGGAGTTACTGACTCTATGTAGTCGAGTAACAGGAGTAACAAGTTTGTGTTTGTTCCTTGTACCAATGCTATGAGTATCACATTTTCTCATGAAATCATTAATATTTTTTCGTACATACATAACATTGCAGAATATATATTGAGAAGCAACATTCAATGTCTTGATTTCTTTAAATTTATTCCTTAACGATTCTTTAGCTCCTAGGTTATAGATTGCGCGGATAGCCCTCTTCTGTAGCACAAATTTTAATTTCCAATCTGAAAATTTATTTGGTATGGTAATATATCAAGTTCTAAATACTTAATTTCAGTTAATGTTGGCACGTATGATTGTAGATAGTAGTCCAAATTAACTTTTTAAATTATTTTCAGGACATTAGCAACATCAACCCATCCTTGGCCGCCTAGTCCAGTACTGCCAAACGCGAGAACGCATTTACCTTCTGAAGGCGGGTCTATTCCAGTTGCACCTCAAACCTCGAGCCCCGCGCCTCACTCGCGGCCTCCGCTACCCAGCTGAGTACCGCCCTCCAACTCCGAACTACTATGCTGAACTAGACGAAACTCGGCGCCCGTCCTCTAACCCCTACAGCCCCTATGAGGCCATCGGGGTAATTGTTTCACGATTTTAATTACACAATCTTGTTGCACCGTTTATTAAAGTTTACATTCTTTTAAGGACTATAATTTTATATTTTTTTGTGACTGATGGTGTTAAAGTAGTGTGACAGAGGAATGAAGTGTTTGTGAAATAATTAACCCGGTTAGCCGAAGGACCACACCGCGGAGCGAGATAAGGTCAGCCGTAGTTTTCTTCGCTGTTCCCCAAAGTTTCGGAAGTGCCAGACTGTTTTTAGTGATATTGTTAAGGTAGTGAATAACGGGAAAGGACATGCTGTTGTTTCTGATTATACAATGCTTTATTGATAGACGCTTTAGCCAATACGTTTTTATGAATTTATACTGTTATTAATCTATCAAGAATTTAAACCTGGTTTAAAATTTTGTCGGCAGTTTATTTATTAAATATAAATGATTTTTTTTGTTTAAAACACACTGTTATTAAACAAATGTTGTACATATGATATTCAAAATTCATACAACAAGGAATATATAAATTGTTTATAAATTTAATATATTGATTGTTGTTTTGAAATATATAAAAATAATTATAATTTGAACGAACACAAGATTTCTTGATGTTATTATAGTTAGCAGACAATATTATGTAAAACCCTAAAATATATACATATAATAATAAAAAAAATCGCATTATTACGAATATATCCCCATTTTTACTCTCAATAATTAATTAGAGATAAGGTAGATTAAGTTTATCACAAGTTCTATGCTGTATACACACTTTTTTAGGTTAGAGTTTAACTTAATTGTTACTACCTGCCTATTGACATGTAGATTGTAAAAGTTTTTATAGTGTAGAATAAGTAAAGCTTTGTAATAAGAAATTAAGATTGATGGCTGTCTAAATAGTGCCTAAAACACTACGAAAATTTCGATTATTCAGTTTATTATCCTAATAAATATTAAACATGTAAATAGGAAAATTAAGATTTGATAGAGTACTTTTAAAATGTAATGAATGATTTTGTAGCTTGTATGCGTATGAGTCATGGGATCAATTTCCTTGTAAAGCTCTGTTCTATAATGAATGCTATCCTTACAAATCTATCTTTTACAACAAATTTATCGAGGATGTACCTTCTACTCTTATATTATATCGTCAGCGTATTGATCTGTAAACATATATCCAATAAAAAATAATTATAAAACAATAATGATATGAAAAAGAACAATAAAAACATGAAAACAGAAAAATTTGTTGCACAAACAGATATCCAGGAGCAATTATTTTAAATGAATAATCAACATACAAAACTTTATATACAGGTTTATTTTTGTTAATTAGTACCCTGTTTCAAAACAATATGTCCATTTGTCCATTTCGAGTGTTTATTTTAATAATAGTGTTTTTATTATTTACTTTTTAACTTTTCCTTGACTAATTTTATTTAAGAATATATATAAACTTGTTATTTAATAGTTCTTAATATTAATAATTTTACCTTCAAAATGATTTGTCGCAATATAAAAATAATTGACTACAAAAATGCAACTATGTAAAGTTCAGGCATATGTTCTCAAATTGTATATTTAAAACGGCACACACTACTCTCACTCCCTTTCTTCTTAATTGCTAATAAAAATATGAATTCGGTAAGTTATTTGAAATAAAACACCAACTAGATCATTAGGGCTGCAGTAGAGTTATTTTAAAAATGTTTTTAAATATCTTGCATTGCTTTTATTCCTTGCTATAAACTAATACTTAGTGTTTACTTTATTGTTATTTAGTTAATATTTTTACTCAATAAGTTTTAAGAGTTTTAAATTATTTTTCTTGCTAGTCATTGGTTTGTAAATGTAGTTTAGTAATATTAAAAACTCATTTGTTTGTCATTGTCATCTCAATGTAACAATCTTTATATATTATTTAACTCAATAAATTTCTAGCCATCTTTAATATAAACATTTATTTGTAAGAAGAATTGACCAAAATTGTTTAAGATTGATTAAAGTAAAAATGTAAATACTAAGTGAAAGTAATTAAGAAAGACATGTGTAAAAAAAAATATGTAAAAAGTTGTATTTGCAAATTTTAATGTAAATAAACACACAATTGTTTCCAGTAATTTATTTTTAAATAACTAGGTTCAAAAATTAATTGGAATTTTAAATTATATGCAATTAGTACATTCTATGCGGTGCGAAAATTGATGAAAATGAAATTTTTGTGATCATTTTTAATGAAAAGAAAGTGTAACTTCGATTATATGAGCTGTAGTATTTTTTAAAATGAGTTTCATTTCTGTTTATTTTTTTCATATTCCCTAACACTAACCACTATTTTTTATACTTTTATAGAATTATTGAAAAACAATGACATAATAATATTAAAACAATGTCCGATGTAGGGTAACATTTATTGTTGAGTTACATATATCTAGGGTGCTTAAGAGAGCATATTTTTTTTCGTAAGGGGCTATGTAGTTTAAGTAATCCTACATTAAAACCCGTCTGAATTTTTCACGTTTAGAAGATTTATTACTCAACCTACAAAATAGATTCAATTTCGATGTGAGAATAATTACGACGATTTGAAGTACATCAAGAAATATGTGGGTTTGACTGTGTTTCACCTACACTTCATATATAGTACATTAGGTATGTCCAAGGCCTACCAAAGACTATTTATTTTAGCTAAAGAGTGTATTGTGGACCTGTATATGAAAATAATGTTCCTCCTTACTAAATTTCCTTATTTTACGAAAACGTTCAATCCATTAGGATCAAATACCGTTAATTCAGTATCTGATGTCTTCCGACTTCATTATAATGTTATCAATTAGAAGTTAAAATAGACATTTTGGATCATGTCACATTCATAGGTTTGGTTCTAGAGAACGTTTTCCATTTTCGTACCTGCCTAACAGGTTTTCTATCCGAAAAGACGATATTCTAAAAAACTGTCAGTTATTAAACCTTTAGCGATCTCATGTTATTACATTCTAAAATTTCTTTGCTTGAGACAGCACACGGTCTGTTTTTTCGTTTACCGTCTAACCCTTTAAATATTTTTTACAAATTTTTTACAAAATTTTTCTGTGGTTAAAAATAAATTTGATAATTTTTTTCAATTGAATCTTTTATTGTTATCAAAATTTAAGTACAATTTCCACTTACAAAATAATATACAATATACAACATACTCGTATGTAGATGTGAAAAAAAGAACAAACTTGCAAATCTTATACAAAATCTCGAAAATATTAACAAAACTTTATTATTTACATGTACAAGATACCTTTACTTTACTTCATTTATTCTTTTTTTTGTTTTTTCTCTTATCGGTTCCTCAACTATCGCATTTTATTATTTATTACTTTTAGGTATGTACTGTTACGAGGATTAAATGTTTTTTAATATATGTAAGCATTCAAGTTTGATTATCTAGTTATTCCCATTTCATTGATATACATATTCCTGGGTATTATTACAATTGATGTGTTTCGTTTTCTAAAACCGAGTCAAGAACGAATTGAAGTATGATATGAGGTTGTGCTCAATGCTCATTGTTGATTGTTAGCAACTTAGTTATGTTTGTGGGTGTACTTGATTGCGCAAATTGTGTCGGTGTAATTTGTTTTTGGCATCTGTATATGTATTCCAGATAAGTTGGATTGTTTCCTTTACTTTATCGGCTAAGTCTTGTTCTGAAATTGTATTTTGAGGGTAATATTAATGAAATATCTGTAGAGTTTTGGCGATATACAGTTGGAGCTGTTGCTCTATTTATTGCTATGTAATAACAGCGATTCTGCTGTGGGTTGATAGTGCTATTTTATATCATATTTGTTTTTGTATCTTACAATTTTTTATGAACTTTGCTTTTACAATATTTATTTCATATGTTTCGGCTTTAAAAACTGTGTTAATCGTAACTTTCTTAAGTTAATAAAGAAAGTTAAGTAACGTCTTGCATGCGCCACTTCCAGTGGTGGCAGAATATTCCTCAAGCCGAATATGTACATCATTGTTCGATTTCTCCATGTTGTGAGGGTTTCAATGAAATGTTAGTCTCCCGTAACAAACCTTTCTTATTTCCACCCTCAATATTTGATTTGGACTGATGGTTATATGAGAGTTTCTTTTTTACAAAAAAAAGATTAAACAACAACGTTTTCTAAGAAAAAATAAGAGTATTGGTATATTTTATACAAATAAACGTCCACACAGCCAAGGACATTCAACATAGATATGTTCGCTTCACTTCACCTGTATTGTGTGTACGGTCCTTGATGTCTATTATTGGATATATTTTGAATGAACGTAATTCTTTGAAATTGAAAGAGTATTTTGGGGATACCAAAGTAATAATCGTTCCTATGAATTTTATAATGCTTAACTTTATAATAGTCTTCTTTAAATATAATTTAGTTTAAAAATACCTTTCACTTATCGGAGTTTTGTGCTAATTTTTCGAAGTAAAAATAAAAAAAATAAGTAATTTGACTTAAACATCACTAATAATAGCAAAAGGCTTAATATACCTTTTATAAATTGTATATTGTATTTTCTTCAAATATGTATTATTGAATAAAAAATAAAACCTTCAATATATTTAAAATTAGTTACTATACCTGGGATGGAATATTTACAGATTAGAAATAAAAGTTATTTCAAGTTGTAAAATATTTCATTAAAATTTTCATCGGGATGCATTGAAAAGTCTAATTTAGTTGTTCAAGGTAAATAGGAAACTGATGACGATATCTTTTAAATCTAAGCTGTTATTATGTAGTGGATGAATTCAGATAAAATTATTTTGGTCTAATTTTATCTTTATCTAAAAGAACTGTAAATAACGCTAGAACAACATACTGGAGAAGTACTTAAACATCCCGACTAGAATCTATTTATTTTCAGCTCATTAGTTTGGTT